GGGTTTAGGGTTTAGGGTAACTTTGGAGGTTGTGAAACAGAAGCACATGTTAAAGCACTGCTTGGGGACTACACGGGTTGCACATGCAGGTATAGACTATTATAGACCAGTGCAGCTGTACAGCAGTATTCGTAGGCGAGTAAAGATGCGTATGCTTCGTAGCTGCTAATACAGCAGCGGTAGGAGTAGGCAGGCGGCGACTTGACTTGCCTCGACATCGGGACGGGCGAGATGCATCTTCGGCGGAGAAAGAGGTGTGTGCTTGTGTATGCGTGTGATGACCTCCGTCACTTCATGCCGCCACACCCAAGCCTACACAGCCTACACAGCTGGCATTTCAGTAAACATTGCCTTATCCTTCCGCATCGGGACACGGAGTGCAGTGTACGGATAATACTGGCATACACAGCAGCAGCTCGAGATTTATCAGATCCTAAGCGGCCGTTACTAGCCTCGTCGTACCCAGACTGCAGCTTCTCCTCAGAATCCGGGCCAGGGAGAGATCGTCCCTCGTCGCCTCAGTGCTTGGATGCAGTCAATAGGCCGTGGCTTTGATCAGCTCCGAGGGACAGACTGCGTTGGCTCTTTCTGAAGTAGTTTAGTCGGATGTTTAGTAGGGGTCGGAATACATAGCCATAGTATCCCACTAGAGAAATGGATTACAGTATCTCAGACAATCCCGACAAGCCCATTTCTAGTTGTCAAGGCCACGAATTCAGGATTCGTTGGTCATGGCCCAGGGGTTGAGGGGGTTGAAGCTGTGCTGTCTTTCGACGGTACCCTAAACCCTAAACCCGTGTTTAGTGTTCAGGGTTTAAGATGTCGTGGTGGTTGCGGATTCAAAGGGGGTGCCAACTCAGTCTTGGGCCCGGGGCAGGCTTCAGATGTGTTTAGCTTGGGGTTTAGGGTTTAGGGTCAGGGCTTTGAGTTCCTTAAGACTTCGGGGTGGTGGCGTGGCCTTCCTGGAAGAGTCCACTGCGGGATGCCAGTGTTGAAGGAATTGGGCTGCTAGACTCTGACCCCGAAAACTTGAATCCCGGATCCCTAAACCCTAAACCCGCAAGCCCTAAACCCACAAGCCCTAAACCCTAAACCCCCAAGCCCGAAGCCCGGAGCCTTTGAACCCTGAACCCTGAACCCTAAACCCTAAACCCGTAAACCCTAAACCCTAAACCCTAAACCCTAAACCCCTAAAGCCCTAAACCCCTAAACCCTAAATTGAACCTGCTTGCCAGGGCAGCTTCCTCCTGATAAAGGTACGATTTTCCGGATCAAGGCACCAGAGTTGAGGGTTTGGGGGTTTAGGGTTTGGGGGTTTAGGGGTGTAGGGGTTGGGGTTTAGGGGTGTAGGGGTAGGGGTTTAGGGTTTAGGGTTTAAGGGTTTTAGGGTTTAGGGTCTGGGGGTTTAAGGGTGTGGGGTTCGGGTCTGGGGTTTAGGGTGGCTTCGGTATTTCCACCGCAAGGCTGGCGTGCGAGGTTTTGCCACATACAAAGCTCCGAGCCTCAAAAACTTTGTCAGGGATACGGGCTACCCACACTGCGACGCCTTTGGATGTTCCGTAGCATTTCACCTACAAACTGGTTTCTTCGATGAACGTAGCACAGGGGGTTCTCATGGCATACGCTCAGTAATGCAGGAGGACAGGCTGGCGACTTTGTTTCGCAATTCGAACTCGCCGCTGATATGATTTCAGGGATGCTTCTGGAGCCCATGGCTGCTATAGCCAGATTAATTCTGTTGGGGTTTAGGGTTTAGGGGTT